TCTGTACTTCTGGTGAGACAGATTTTTTGGTGAGTACGTTGATCTAGGCATTTATCCTTCCAAGTTTAAGATTCAAATATTTAGTTTCTGTTCTTGACATGTCAGTCAACTATGAAATTAGAAGAGAGATTTGCTTGTTTCTCTCCTCCCTCTCGGAAAGCGAAACGATTTCTTGTTGATGATCGGGGACAGGACAAATTAAGATTTCTTGCGTTGCGATTCCTAAATATTGGCAGACTCTTCACCAACAAAAGATTTTGAGAACTTTCCCTTGATTGCAAGGACAGTGGTTGCCTTAAAGCATTGCCAGCTTAATTCAAACTATTTAGTTGTGCGTCCACCAAGTTATACATAACCTTGTTTTTTCATAGCGATATTTTTGACGTGATGTGTCAGGAAGGTACAGATAAATGTTAGTTATTCTCCCTGAAAGTTTTGAATCTTTTAAGTTCATCCATTTTACAGCCTTTACAGGTTGAGGAACAAAAATTGACGGTTTTTTTCCCTCTGTTTAAATTTTGTGTTTGCATCATTTTGTTTACTTTTCATGCATTTGGTTGATTCTTTTCATGACCAAAGGCGTGTTTTGTGGTGAGAACTTTGGTCTCTCGTGGCAGTTTAGCCTACATGTTAGTTAGCAATGTACGTAAATCGCTTTCCGTGTTACCTGCAGAAGTAATACTGGTTACCTTGTCACACAGCCAATCAGAATCGCGTATTTCAAACACGTGATCGCTCTCGACCAATCAGAAGGCTGGATTTAATTACCCCAGAAAAGTTGCGTCATACCAAGGGGTACGTCATGTAAGACATCACGAAAAGTTCCCCAACATTCCCCCCTCATGTAATAGCACACCAAATGTCACTTTTCAACTCATTTTATTCTGACGTCATTCCTTATTTTACAAGCGGGACGTGTGTGACCTCCTATTGACGTCACGCCCATTTCGTTTTAAAAAGTTTAAAAAGTCATCAAAAAAATGGCCGGGAAAGCGGTGGTTCGGTGGCCATCGCTTTCGGCCGATGAGTCTAGCCAGCCAGGTGGGACTCGAGGCTTACAGGTTCGAATCCTGTCGGGAACGTTTTTTTTGTGTGTGTGTGTGTGTGTTGACAGAGTGCGACGCACAAAATGTAGATATTTTATTAGATTTGTAAATAAAATAAAAAAAATTAACATATTTTGTTGTAATCTTCGCTTGAACAAATTGTTCATTTCCAATAAGGCATCAGGATAATCGTAGATATTGCGTAATAATGGCAGTTCTGCTGATCAACGTGGGTTTCATAATCTGCTTCTCCGTCATTTCCGAAATAATATAATAACATAAAATAATATTTATATAGCACCTATACTTTTCACTGCTAAGCGTTTTACAATGCTTTAAAAAGGTCTGGATTAAAAAACAAAAATCCTAGAATCATTTACATATAAACCTTACATAGTCACAAAAATGCAAAATAGAAACCTAAGATAGTTCATAAACTCGCTTAAAAAGAAACGTCTTCAATTTAGATTTAGATTTATTTACAACAAATCTGGATCGCAGTCTGTGTAACGAGATTTTATGATTGACGGTGTCGAAGGCTGCTGATAGGTCCAGGACCGAACAACGCATTGTTTATTATCGATTGATTTCATTATATCATTTTGAACACGTAGAAGCGCTGTCTCACAAATGTGGTGTTTCTTATAAGCAGACTGGAGACTTTCATTCAGATCATTATCACACAAATAATCCCTCAGCGTATGGTTGCAACTTTTTTCAATAACCTTAGACAAAAACGTCAGGTAAGATACAGTGCTCAGGGTACAGATATAGGGTTCGGCTGGACGCAGATAGACTGATCATAGCTACTCATGCCGTCACAAACGCTTTTATCGTGGCCACAAACAACGTATCTAGAATGACAGAAAGGCGAACCAGGAAAATGGGAAATCATTGATTCACAAATTTAGGAACTGTGGCGCAATTGTACTTTGCCCATTTTCGTTCAATAGTTTCATTATTATTCACATCTAGTTGCCGTCTATGCATATATGTGAAGTTTTCATGTAATGACGTCCACTTTTGGCTTCCATTTTAATTTAGACCAATATCGAATTTTTAAAATTCATAACTAGCTCAGAGGCTGAGGAGAACAAAATTAAATATGTGGCATCTAGATTCAGTTAATGATGGACAATTCTAATATGAATTGTCATTATTGGAAACTGCCTGTTAAGGAAAAGTGCGGGGTTTTTAAGCCGTAGCACAGTAGTCGCGAAGGCACAACAGAATACGTTAGGTAGTAAAGGAAAGCCTATCTGGTAAATTCATGGATAATAGAAAGACTGGATAGGAAACTAGCTGACGTGATCGGTTCCAACATAGTGGAAAAACGTGACGTCACATTATCGAGAGCCATTCAACCTCTTACATTCGATGTTTTTGCGGCGTCTTAATTAATCCTCGCATATTGCCCAGATTGCCCATGTTTTGAAGTAAAGGATGAAGAGTACTTGTTCTTGGCGAAGACAGTTAGAGGGTACAAAAGCGGTAGAGGCAAAAGACTGAGTAAATGATAATGAAATTTGTGAGAGCGACGAATGACTCCAGCGCCCAATAATTTTATGCACCAAACGAGAAGCCTAACTACATAAAACTATGCGAAAACTTACATGTGTACCACTACAAAACAGCCTAATTTTCAACAAACCACAAGAAAACATGGAAGAATTTTAATTATTTTTGTCACGGTTTTGACGATTTCTTGTCTGCTTTTATACAAGCTCAGCGATTGTCGAATTTTACAAGTTAACAGCTGACTCTTGACAAAATGATTTTATTTGCGGTAAAACTGTCGAGACTTGATGTTTCAAGTACCCAACTCAAACGAGGATTTAATTTTTCATTTAAATTTATTTACGGACAATCAGTGACAAGAAGCCGTAGTTGAGAACTGTATAAAACATGATAAAACGCGGGGATAAAAAGCTCAGCAAAGAAAGGAAATTTACTTGCGGACCACCGTGGAAACGCTGTTTCTAACTTTCCCAAATCAATTTTCATAGTAAAGCAGCAAGTTCTTTTGTTATTTTCAGGTATAAATGTACCGTTACCCAAGGTAATTTTCAGTCAGGTCTTTGAAAAAGCGAACTGCAACGCTTTTAAAAATGTTATGTAAAACGGTTAATTGTTAACCACTAGAATACAGCTGGGAAGCAAACTCATGATTAATAGTAGGCCCTTCACTTATTTTTCATGAGGAACACTTGTCTTCCACTGATAAGGCTTATAAAGCTTATAAATATATTTATTCTTTGAAATACTGACCTCTTTTTAGGATGAAACAACCTTTAAGTTTTTGTATTGTAGTCTGAATGATATAGAAATCACCTCTGAAAATTAAACACTAACACTGTTCCCAAAGAAAATAGAAGCTGACTATTAAAAAATAAATAAATAGAAAAAAGTAACATCCAGGATTTTTGTTTAGCCTGAGGTAAGTGGATAAGGGCTTGAAAAAATATGACTGTCTGGTCACATTATTATGTTGCTGAAAACAAAATTCATACCCCAAACAGGTACAGGTATATGTTTTATTAATTTGATTTAGAGTACATCTAGGTAAGGTTTATCATCTACAGGTACATTGTTGCTTTGGATCTCTAAAAGAACCGAGTACAATAATAGTGCTAATAAAGTCCATCTTTGGTTTGAAAAACAATGTGATTCAGATTTAGACCGCTTCAGAGAAAAACACTAACAAATCTAAAACACATTACCCTGTGGCTAATACATGCAGTGACCCTCACACACAATTAATTTGTCCCTGTCGGAAAGGAGTAGCTAACACTCTTAAAGCACCTTCTGATCAGAAATAAATTATATTCCACCTTCTGGCTCTCATGCATGACAAAATTAACTTTTGTTGCTGTTTTATACAGAAAGATTGATTGATTTGTGCCCTCTCAGAAGAGTACTTGACCCTGCTTGACCACAATTTACTGTCTTCATTGACTAAATGTGTTCAGCAAATCCTACAAAAAAGACAAACACAAGGAAAACTAAAACACTGTTTACAAAATAACAACAACACTTATAGGTGTAGTTTATGTTTA